TTTACAGATAAGGAAACAGACAGAGTATTTAACTTTCTTAAGGTCATTTAATTTATAAATGGCAGAACCAAGATTCTAACCCAGGCAGTCTGCCTCCAAAACCGATGCTCTTAATAACTGCTATATGCTAACTTCTCTTCTTAGTGGCAAAACGAAGTCCAGAACCCAGTGCATTTTCCACTTTGCCATTTCATATCACTTCCTCAAACAGTACTTTAAAAGACAGGATATAAATGGTATAATTCAGCAATACTATCAGTATTACTGATGTATAAACCTTTGACTACACCATTTTACTTCTAGAAATTTATAATACAGATATACATACTCATTCACATTCTTAATGTTTATTCAAGGATATCCACTATTGGTTGTAATGGGGCAAGAGTTTGTAATAGCAAAGGATTGGAAACAACCTAAATATCTATCATAGTGTATATCCATACAATGGAATACTGACATATAAAGGAATGAAATATTGATACATGCTACCATGTGGAAGAACCTTGAAAAAATTATGTTGAGAGAAAAACTAGATACAAAACGTTACATATTGCCCAAACCGGTTTGGCTCAGTGGTAGAGCGTCAGTCTGCGGACTGAAAGGTCCCAGGTTCGATTCCGGTGAAGGGCATGTATCTTGGTTGCAGGCTCATCCCCAGTAGGGGGTGTGCAAGAGGCAGCTGGTTGATGTTTCGATGAGCTAGAAACATCGATGTTTCTCTCTCATCGACGTTTCTAGCTCTATCTCTCTCCCTTCCTCTCTGTAAAAAAATCAATAAAATATTAAAAAAAACAAAAACGTTACATATTGTATGATTCCATTCATATGAAAGTTGAAAACAGGCAAATTCATAAGAACAGAAGATAGGTGGTTACCAGGAGCTGGGGAGAGGAGAAAATGAGGACAGATTGCTAATTATGGGATTACCTTTTGGGGTAATAACAATATTCTGGAACTAGATATGCTGTTAGTTGCACAATTTTGTGAATATACTAAACCCCACAAATTATACAGTTTAAAAGGATAGACTGTATAATATATGGATTATATCTCAATTTTTTAAAAAACAGAGAACATATGCATTCCCTAAAAAAATACTCCAAGCAGCAGACTCTCCCATCGGCTTTGAGGAAGCAAGCTGCCATGAATTCTACAGCTGCCAACAACTTGAGAGCACTTACCGTAGAAGAAAATTCTTTCCTGCTGAGTGTACAGGTGAGAAAGCAGCCCAGCTGACACAATGACGTCACCGTTGTGAGACCCAGGCACAGAAACCAGCTAAGCCATACCCAGACTCCAACATATAGAAACTGTGAGGCAATACATGGATATTGCTTTAAGCCACTAACATTTTGGATTTGTTACACAGCAACAAATCTAGCTGGTGTGGTTCAGTGGTTCAGTGTTGATTTATGAACCATGAGGTCATTGTTTGATTCTGTTCAGGGTACGTGCTCAGATTTTAGGATTGATCCCCAGTGTGGGTTATGCAGGAGACAGCCAATCAGTGATTCTCTCTCATCATTGATGTTTCTATCTTTCCTTCTGTCTTCCTCGCTGAAATCAATAAAAATAAATGTTTATTTTATTTTTTTAATTTTCAAGGTACTTTGTTGTTAAAACAGGTCACAACACTAAGCCTCTGGCCTGTTCTGCCAATGTACAAGCTACAAATGCTTGCCCAGTAGCTAAAGGGCACTCTGCAGTAGCATGTTTAAAAATTGAATAAAAATCAATATAAAACAAAATTCAAATAGTTTCCAAAGGAATACAGATAAGTGTGACCCTGTCACCTACGCCTTCCACCTTGTTCCATCTGTGCCAACCCCACTTACAAAGACATTTCAAAATTATCAATAATTAAGTTAAATGGTCCCCCCAAGCCCCTTAATTCAAGCTACACTTGCATAACAGCATCAAGAATGGCATCTACACATTAACAGGAGCTGAAATCCCACTCTCCCAGCCACCAGACACAAGCAGAGCACTGGTGTTTCTGCTTCTCCACCTCGGGCTGGAAGTCATTCTGGACTTGCCACATCAGTTGCCATGCCAACCATGACATCACACAGTAGATGGCCTGCCTCTGAAATCCATTGAAAATAGAAGCAGCAGCAATTGTGTAAGCACCCATGTTTTCAAAGAGCATCCAGTCCCCCCATATGCATCTTGGGTAAGCTGCAGCGCTCTACAATGTAATCGAGGCTGTCACAGGTTGGCCCCACATGCTGGATGAAGAATACCTCTCGCTGAAACCGGTTTGGCTCAGTGGTAGAGCGTCGGTCTGCGGACTGAAAGGTCCCAGGTTCGATTCCGGTCAAGAGCACATACCTTGGTTGCGGGCATGTCTCCAGTAGGGGGTGTGCAAGAGGCAGCTGATCGATGACTCTCTCATCGATGTTTCTAACTATCTCTCTCCCTTCCTCTCTGTACAAAATCAATAAAATTAAAAAAAAGAATACCTCTCATCTGGTTTGGGACTCTTCTGCAGAAGGTGCTTCATGTGCACATGATCATAGAAAATGCAATTAAACGATCCATATACTCCATCACTTATGTAATACATAAAGGTTTTTTCACTTAATTCATCAGAACCTGTTCCTTTACTACCAGTCTTTTGGCAATTAACTGCAATTGTGAAAGCTGATGCAACATAGTATCTGCCTGGCTCAGCGATGAGTGTCACTCCCGAGGCTATTGTAAAATACTGGGTTAATTACTGTATTAAGATCCAGGAAAGCCACCACCAATATCCAGCAGATACATGTTGAAACCAACCTCAGCTCCCATGTCAAAGGCATAGGGGGCATCAGAGATGGCCTGCATGAAGATCTCAGGGTCAGTACGCCACTTCCCATGTGGAAGCTGACACCAATGACATCAATATGTAGTAGCTCTTTCGCTTGTTCCAAAAAGAAGCTTGCTGGTTTTAAGTATGGCACCAAATTTAACACCGAGACCACGGGCTGCTTTGCAATCCGTAAAACCAACTTTGCCTTTGGATGTGAGCTGGCAACTTTCATCAACTCGACTTCACTATCAAAAGTCATCATCTGGATCCCATTAGTGGCATCTCATTTAATCGGAAACACTTGTTTACAAGGATTTGCATAGATAATCCTCCCTGGAGGCACCCCAAGACTCTGCACTAATTGTATTTCAGTCTTGCTGGCATAGTCAAGTCCTCTCCCGAGGACAGCTGGAGCCTTCACTGTGGTTCTGCTGTCACTGCATTTGACTGAATAAAAGGGGGTATACTGAGGGAGAGCTTTTAACCACTTCAGGTGTTTCTTCAGAATGTCTTCCAGATCTGCAACAGAGAAGGCATCCTTATCACTGGAAGAAGAGGCTTCGTCAGTTTTTTGGTCTAGAAGGTCCTTGGCAGTAAAGCCCTCATTGAGGAAATAGCAGTCAAACTCTTCATTACTAACATTGTTCAAGTTCATGGTTTTTGGATGTTCCAAAATGCAGCACAAAGGAAAAGGAAGAGGAAGGACTTAAGAAATTATTACCAGTTGTTCATAAATGCATCTCTCCAGGAATTCCAAGTCCACAGAAGATGGGCGTCCTCTTGGTACAGCAGTAGAAATGCCCTAAGAGTGCAGGGGCACCTCAGGCTAACCCCATGGAGGCCTCCTTACCTACCCACCCCCACTTCTGCTCTCTCTAAAAATCAATGGAAAAAACAAACCCTTGGGTGAGGATTAACAACAACAAAATTAACATAGAGGTTACAACCTGCCTGGCATTTTTTTAAAGTGATTTACATAGGTTAACTTTATTTAATTTTCACATAAATTCTATGAAGTAGATACTCATTTTTTTTTTCTGATAAAGAAGCTCATTATGTGCAAAAAAGAAAAAAAGAAAAAAAAAGAATAGAATGTTAGCATCTGTACCCCTGAAAGGGAAATGCAGTTAAGTATATGCACTTATTTGTATAAAACTTTTGTGGAAGGCTACATAAGTAAATAGCAAATTGGTTGCCTGAGGAAAGGGAATGGTCTGGAAGACAAATGGGAGAGACTTTCTCACTTTATATCCTTTCATACTTTAAAGCAAAAGAAGATTTTTAAAAATCCTGTTCATATAAGAGTGAAACAGTAATATCTTAATAATCATCCAGAAAGCCAATACAATAATTTTATGTTTTGTTTTGGGTAGTTTCTCCGCCCTTGGATAGTTTCTTTTATATATATATACACAGACACATTTTATTGATTTTACACAGAGAGGAATTGGAATTGAGAGGGAGAGAGAGTTAGAAACATCGATGAGAGAAACATCGACCAGCTGCCTCTTGCACTCTCCCACTGGGGGGATGTGCCCGCAACCAAGATACATGCCCTTGACCGGAATCGAACCCGGGACCTTTCAGTTCACAGGCCGACACTCTATCTACTGAGCCAAACCGGTTTCAGCTCTTTAATATATTTTTATTGATTTTAGAGAGGAAGGGAGAGGGAAAGATAGAAACATCAATAATGAGAATCACGAATTGGCTGCCTCCTTCACGCCCCCTAATGGAGATCAAGCCTCCACGTGCCCTTGGCCTGAATCGAATCTGGGATCCTTCAGTCTGCAGGCCGATGCTCTATCCACTGAGCCAAACCAGCTAGGGCTATGTTTCTTTTTAAAATTATTTTAAAAATTTTTCAATTACAGATAACATACATTATTATATTAATTACAGATAACATACATTATTATATTTGTTTCAGGTGTACAACACAGTGATTAGACATTACATTACTTACTAAGTGATCATCACAATAATTTCACATCCATCTGACAGCATACATAGTTATTAGAATATTATTGACTATATTCCCTATACTGTATTTTACATCCCCCTGACTATTCTGTAACAACCAATTTGTATTTCTTAATCCCTCCACCTTTTTTACCCATCCCCTCAAACCCTCCCATCTGGCAACTATCAAAATGTTCTCTGAATCTATGAGTCTATTTCTGTTCTGCTTGTTCATTTTGTTTCCTAGATCCAATTGTTGATATGTATTGCCATTTTAGTGTTCATATTTTTTATCTTTTTTCTTCTTCATACAGAAGACCCTTTAACGTTTCATATAATTTGAAGGTGTGACCAGCCCATTCTGTATTTCTGGCCTCCTACCACTTTCAATGTGGTCTCTTCTTTAATTCTGTAGTTGTAGGACTTCCATTCAGGTGGTTCTGAATGATGGTGGTTCTGTAGTTTAGTTGTAATTTTGATATCTTGACTGGAAGCTCCCATATATTTCAATACAGAGGAATTATAGACTTCCACATGCTAATCATAGCAATTAAGTAAATATATAATCAGAGTTAAAAGATTTACACATAGTAAAACAAAAGCATTAATAATGTACCTTTGAAGTGAATAAAGTCACTAATAAGAATTGATAGTAACAACAATCTGTAACATTTGCAAAGCAATTTCATGTGGGGTATTTTTGTTATGTTTTGTTTTGTTTCTTAGATAAAAGATGTTATCTGATGCTCACAAATACCTGAATCTTCAAATCTTCAAGGTTACACAACTAGGAAGCTGCTTTCTTTCTTTCTTTTTTTTCTCTGGACATTTCCATTGAAATGCAGCTCTAGGGAAAGATAATAGAGGCCAATCAACAAAACCATCACTAATAGATCTAATTAATAAACTTTAAGGATCTTAGAGATTAATTAGTCTGGTTATTATATGAATAAAGACAGTATTATAAAACTACAATTTCATTGCCTATTCAGATGCATTTAAAAATATGAAATTGCCATTCCTTCCAGATGCTTAAGCTAAAATAATAATCTTATTGAATAGATATTTTTTGAATTTGTCCTAAGAAAGTATAAGAAAGACCCTTTTACTTTAGCAACAATCTGGAATGAAGTTCACCAATGGTTTGTCTGGAAGTCTTTCCATGCAATGAAGAGAAGGCAGAAAAAGAATCCTAAGTTGAAAATAAGAATATAGTGAGGGATGAGCAAGTATGCAAGTGTCCCTTAAACTACTATGCCAGCTGATGATAACTACAAATCTCCACTAAATCCAGTAGTTAAGAGCTGTGACTAATGTTTACATTTTTGTTTCCTTTTTGAATCAAACTCTTCTAAATCTTCTGTTACATGTAATGCCCTGGATGAATCTTACAGGCATAATGAGCCAGACAGAAATAATCTATGGTAATAAAAGAATAGTGTTTCCTTTTTGGGAGAGGGGGTGGTATATTGACTCAAAGGGGACATGAAAGAACTTTCTGAAATTATGAAAATGTTCTATATCTTGATCTAGGTGATGTAACAGACAATGTACACATATTTAATTTTTATTGAACTGTGCCCTTAAGAGATATGCATTTTATTCTATGATGTTATTCTTTAATTAAACAACAACATAAGCAAAATGAAACAAAACTCTACAGGTTCTTATTATCTTATATAACAAAAGGCTAATATGCAAAACTCGCTAGGATGCACACTGACCACCAGGGGGAAGACGCTCAACACTGGAGCTATCCCCTGGTGGCCAGTGCACTCCCCTTGGGAGACAGTGTCTTCTATTAATTTTTGCTCCCAAAGATGCGCTAGGTCTTATTTTCAGGGGATGTCTTATTTTTCCATGAAGAAGAATACGGTACACATTTATTGTTAAATGAAAATAAAGGAAATGTATTACCTGTATATGGTACGGTAGTACGGAAGTTGTCAACACAAACCAGACAAACTGTGAATCCTACAGTATCAAGAATTTACTCATTTATTCAATGACAATCATGTCATCTTCTGGAACATCATCATAACAATCCAATTCCTGAATTTCCTGGTGAATTTCTTGTGACTCCATTTCTTTCAGAATCAGTGGACCAAATCTCTCATGTATCAAGGTGGGGGGAGGGGGGTCACTTAAAATGACACAGGGGGGATCAGAGGGAGGAATCAAAATGGCACAGGAGAATCAGAGGGGGGATTACTATTTTTCTAACCCCTTTTGATCCTCCTGTGTCATTTTGATTGCCCCCTCTGATCCTCATGTGTCATTTTAAGTGATCCTCCTCCCCCCACCCCTGTGCCACTGAACACCTTCACCAGACATCCCCCCTAACCCTTTATTAGACATTTACCCCCTGGGGCCTGCCTGGGGACTGTCACTGGGCTTGCTGGGGCCTGGATCTGGGCTGGAGCAGGGTCTGCCACTGACTGAGAACCTTCAGTCATCATGAGGGCGGCCGAGAGCATCAGGTAGTGTCATCAGAGACAGACCAGAACTCACCACCTTCGCCGTGTCCCGTCTGCCCTAATCCTGTTTTTCTACACGCATCTGTGAAAGTCTCCTCTCTCCCGCCCCACGCTCATTGCTCACTCCGACCTCTGCTCCACCTCCACACAGCAGTGATGTCAGGAGTCCAAGTAACGTCACTGGTTGCTAGACGCCAGTCGGGGAAGATAGAGCATCGGTCTGCGGACTGAAAGGTCCCAGGTTGGATTCCAGTCAAGGGCATGTACCCTGTTTGGGGGCACATCCCCAGTAGGGGGTGTGCAAGAGGCAGCTGATCAATGTTTCTCTCTCATTGATGTTTCTAACTCTCTATCCCTCTCTCTTCCTCTCTGTAAAAAAATCAATAAAATATATTTTCAAAAAAAATCACTTATATAACCTGATTTGGGTTTATTTTATTAAGTATTTACAGGTTTATCTTGATTAAAACAAACTGGCTTCATTATATGGGAATCTAGATTTACCCAAAATATAAATTAGGGTGTATCTATCAACTCTCTTTAAATGATTTATACAAATTTAAAGTGCCTTTTACTGAATTTTAGAAGACAGGTAAATTTTCTTTGCCAAATCCAAGACTTGTTGAAAATCAAAAGGATTTAACTCTTGGAAGTGATCATTGTGTTGTATCAGCTGGTTGGCCAGTCTAGGCCTACTTATAAGATCATTTACACCTCTGCCATTTCCACCTGAAGAAAGCCTCAGGTTTATACTAACTTCACATTGTGTTTGTGGAGTTTTCTAAGAAGGAGGTTGGTGCAAAAAGAGGAAAAAAATGCTCAAGAGGAAGTGGTACACTACAAAAGTGCAAAGAGTGGAAAAATATGTGGGGGGGAAAGTGTTTTAAGTTTTATGTTTTTATAATAAAGGAGGGCAAAGAAACTTGTATAGAAATTCATGTTTTCAGAAGAATAACGTCTCCTCATTCAATTAGGAAGACTGAATAAATTGGAGGGAAAGGAGTAAAACTACAGAAAGAACATTTGAATATATCTCCCTATAATTTATCATATGCTTTATTTATTCTCACAACAAATATTTCTTAAAGACTCTATCTGCTACCAGACCCGAGTCTGGCCTTCTGGGAAACCAACTGAAAGTAAACATTCATCCTGCCCCTGGGTTTATAGTCTTGTGCTCCCATCACCTGATTGAATCTTCATAGCAGTCACCAGAGAAATATTGCCACTTTTAGCAGAGAAGGAAATGGTAGCTTAACTGTCTTGTTGAAGGAAACACCACTATATGAGCAAGGGATAAACAGGACTCAAATTTACATCTTACTCCAATTTCAGGCTCTTGCAACTACATTTGCTTGTAGATCTCTGGGATCTTTAATTTGTTAATTAAGGCTCTCAAGAGAAATAAAGATAAATTATGAGGTTACAGCACTAATGCTTTTTAATCACTCCTCCATGTATCTCTTCTCCCGTTTGTCCCTCTTTTATTCTCAGTGAATAGGAAACTTCCCACCCACAACCTTACAAACACTTCATTTTCACTTTTTCCTAAGGCACCTAGGATTTGTATAATTTGTGGAAGACAGAATTAAGTCAGTCTTCCAGTTTCCTTGACTAACAACAGGACTGAAAATCTGCTTCCCTTTTATGTCACATGACTCAGATTATTGCTTTATTATTTGGTGCTTCGTAGGACCAGAAAGCTACTCAGACTTTACCTTTGGATATTTTCTCCCCCAATGCATAAAAGCCCCAAAATAAAAGGTATAGCTGACATGACCTCTTGCTATACCTGATTTTTAAAAGGACCTTAATTAGCCCTGGCCAGGTAGCTCAGCTGATTTGAGCGTCCTCCTGATACACCAATGTTGTGGGTTCAATTTCTGGTCAAGACACATACAGGAAGCAACCAATAAATGCATAAATAAGTGGAATAACAAATACATGTTTATCTCCCTCCTTCTCTCTCCTCCCCTTTTTCTAAGATCAATAAAAAAATAAAATAAATGTAGACACTAATTAATAAATGTCCCATCAAATAGATGTGCAAATAATATTTGGCCACACAAAAAAATAAAATACTGACACATGATAAAAAAAAAAATAGATGAACTCAAAAACTATGCTAAGTGAAAGAAACCAGTACAAATAGCCAAATATACAATTTCATTTATATGAAATGTCTGGAATAGGGAAATCTATAGAGACAGAAAGTAGTGGCTATATAGTACTGGAGGAATGGGTAGATTTAGGGTGGAAGCTAAAAGATCCAGGTTTCTTTTTAGAGTGATGAAAATGTTCTCTTATAATATATTCCAAATTCTTTTTCTAAAAATTGTATTTCAACTATTTAAAATACAAGTTAGATTATTGTTTGGCTTTAAATACCTATTTCAAGTGTCCTTTGCCATAATATTCTCAAACACACACAAAAACATGTTTTTCCCAATTATCTTCCCACTTAATGTAAAAATATTCCTGGCTAGGAGAAATATGCAAAAATAGATACAAAAATTACAGCCTAGAATATTAGTACCCCACCCCCAGTGGCTCTGAAAAGATAGGCAACTAATTATTATTTTAAGTTTTCTTCTAAGAAGTCTTTAGGGAACCAGCCAAGTTTAAATAGGGTAATTATAGATCTATGGTTGCAATTTACATAAATTATAGAAACATAACACCAAACATTTATCTAATTGAAGACAATATGGTGTTTGGTTACATATCTAGAGGAATTCTACCTGTGGTTTGTGCCATTCTCTTGAGAATCATATTCTCTTGGGACAGAATATGCTTGCTAATAATATTTAAAAAATCAGTCTTGCTTTACTTCTTAAAAACCTCAAAACATATATTACATATAAAATACTATTTGTATGTATTTCTTTAATAAAAATAGTAATAAAATAATATAACTCCATAATTCCTTTAGGAGATATTTATCCACATCCCTAACAGAGATGTTGATCAGTTGCACTCACCGTTATGTGCTGCTTCTTTCTTTAAATGTGAATGAACTCTTCACTCTCCTAGTCAGTCTGTAATCATAGGTCCTATGACCTTAGTTGAGTTTGTTTCCTGCAAAAATAATAACAATGTAAAATATTTAAGATTGTCAAATTTTACAAGTATTTTATACTCTACATAAGTGTGAAGATACTATTTCTATAAAAAGCATATTAGAATTTAGAATCTTATATAATTGCACATAAGTTGTCCCAAATATTCAAGCTTCAGAAATTATTCAAGCAAAATTCCACATCCCTATTTCCTACCTAAAGAGGTCTGAAATAAGAGTCAAATTGCAAGTTTTATGTATTGTGCGTTTTTTAATATAATCCTATATAATAAAAGCCTAGGATGTTGTCACAAGATGGCCACCCCCATGTCATCACAAGATGGCCACCCCAAGATGGTCAGCAGGGAAGGGCAGTTGGGGGCAACTGGGCTTGTAGGGGAGGGCAGTTGGGGGTGAACAAGTTGGCAGGGGAAGACAGTTGGGGGCTATCAAGCCGGCAGGGTAGGGTAGTTGGGGGTGACCAGGCCTGCAGAGAGGGCAGTTGAGGGCGACCAGGCTGGCAGGGGGACAGTTAGGTGTCAATCAGGTAGGCAGGTGAGAGGTTAGGAACCAGCAGTCCTGGATTATGAGAGGGATGTCCCCCAAGTGGTCCCAGGTTGGAGAGGTTGCAGGTCAGGCTGAGGGACACCCCCCCACCATGCACAAATTTTGTGCACCAGGCCTCTAGTATCATACAAGTCTGTCTCAATGTCTCAAATAACCTCCAACCACAGCCTATCTATAATAACCTAGGACATTTACAAGTCAGGAGAATGCCTTATGCTCTCACACTGGGACACTGCAACTTGTAGATTACTACACCAACATTGCTGGTACTTGTTTATTAAACTTGTTTAGTTAGCAATTACTTACTGATCAACCTGTGCTTGCCAGAACTGTAACTGATGCAGGGATTAAAGACAGACATATATCCTGCTTAAAGAGATAATCAGGCAAAGGAGGCCATCTAGAAGAGGCTCTGAGTTAGCAAAGGCCAGAGAAGAAGTTGAAGTGGAGGGAGCATAATAGGAATGTAGGTAGAGAGGACAATAAAGGAATAAAGATAACTGTGAGAAGCAAACAGATTTATGCTGCAGGGAAGCACAGCTGGTCCTGTGATGGGCAGGGTGAGGCAAGAAGTTGAGAGGCCAATTGATCTAAACCACAGACCCGACATATCTCCTGCCTGAAAAGATAAGAGAGAAGAATTTAAAGACTTTAGGTAGAGTTTGTATGCGTGTGTTTTTAAGTGTTTTTTTTTTTCTTTTGCCTTACAATAGGGGTGTCGAACTCAATCAGAGAAGGGGCCAAAATCTAAAATCCAGCCTAAATCGCGGGCCGAATGGTTTACTGAACAGTCATAAACTGTTATTGTGATGGAAACGCAGCGGAGTGCAGTGATGACAGCGCGGTGCGGGCCACATTGCAAGGCCTGGCTGGACGGATTTGGCCCGCGGGCCTTGTGTTTGACACATGTGCCTTACAATCTTTTACCTGTAATTTTACAATGGAGACCTATATAGCAGAAATAAAGGCACAATGTGTAGATGGATTTAGAGGATGGGAGGAAGCTTGTTCAAATATGTGTAAGTTGACATTGTCATCCAAGTATATTAATGCAGAGATTTCTAAATGGGCCACCAGCTTAAAACATCATCTCTAAAACAGTGAGAAAGAAACAGCTTATTATCTTGTGCTTTTCTTCTCCAAGAACTTTGTTTAAATGGTCATGGCTCCCCCTCCATGGAAGGCAGCTAACTGCTATCACCATATCAAGTTTTAACCAGACATGTGTTTGCAGCCATCCACCCACACAGTCCATCTCATTTCCAAGTTTCTCACACAGGCGAGTAGGCTCTGGTTAATAAAACTTACTGTTGTGTGAAGGGCATCAGGGAGCGAGGATGCTGTGATCAGACACCTCTTTGGCCAACAGCGTGGCCCGCTCTGCCTCCATGCCTTTAGGGTAAGTCCACTCCGGTGCAGCAGCACGCTCTTTAGGCTGCTGGTTAAATTGCAACCTTGGGGCACAGCCTTAGAGCAGCTTCTTGTGTGCAGAGAAGGGTCAGAGAAGGAATGCATGCACCCCTTACAAATAAAAATTCCTCACAGAACAGGGAATGTCTTAACACTAAGGAAGTAGTGGTCTTCCTGTTTAAAAAACCAGACAACTCAGGAGGGTCTGGACTAAAGTTCTGTACTCACACAGAGGGGAAATCAGGCCTCAGAATGTCTGGCCTTTTTTTTTTTTTTTTTTTTAAACTTCATTTCTTTTAGGAGGGTCCAGAAAAATCATAGGCAAATAAAAGGGGTGGAGGTGACTTAGGGGCCCATGTCACCCAGTTTTCAAAATCAGGTAAGTAAAGCCACCTTTTCTGTTTAAGGTGGTGAAGCACATTCCATGGTGAATGAATAATAGTATTACATTTTCATTTTCTCACTGTGCCTCTCAGTTCATCCATGCCCAGGAGGCTGCATCAGGAGACAACAGGTTTTTCCAGGCAGAAAAGATGAAAAAAAAAAAAAACAGTCTTAAAAATTCAACAGTCAAGTGGTTGCTTTTCCTAGAGACACAGCCAGAATACAAGTAATAAACGAATCTTCTCTCTCAGATAGTACCCAGATAAACAAGGGAATGAGCGAATTTAGAAACAGTGCTGCTGTTGCAGTGTAACCACGAATCACACAAAGGACACCTCAATCAAGAAATCGAATTACAGAGTCCTTTACTCAAAAGCCGGCAGCTACGAGGGGGCAATAGCACTCCAAATCTCGCAACCTCAAAATGCTGGCACCATCAGGCTTATATAGGCAGAATATCACAAGGTATCCATTACATCTTTGCGTTTGGAATGAGAAACCTGGTTTGCACAAAGCAGTTACAGAAGCGAAATTGAGCAAGTTACTTATCTACAAGGATTGATGATAGTTCTGGGTCTTTGGATCACTGAGGCAGAGTCCTGGTCTTCAGGTACCGAAGAATGTGTTTCTATGACCGGTAAGATCACAATCAAGAGGATATTCAAACCGCCAACAATGGAGTGTTCAATCGATTGGGATAGCATACAGAAGTTCAGAAAATCAACGTAACTTTTCTATTGTTTTTAGCAAGCCAATAAGCACAGAAGCCAAAACAGCAGGATGATTGCTACCATGCTTCACCGCACCTAGCAAGTGTTTCCTAAGGTTCCGTTTATACGTAAGATGGTGATGTTGGGTCCATATCACACATTACTTTTACTCTGCAATAGGAATGGGAACCTTTTTTATGTCAAGGGCCATTTGGATATTTATGACATCATTTATGGGCCATACAAAATTCTCAACTTAATTAGCCTGCTAGCTCTAACTGTTTGGCTCAGTGGAGAGAGCAGCAGCCTGCGGACCGAAGGATCCCAGGTTCGATTCTGGTCAAGGGCACATGTCTGGGTTGTAGGCTCGATCCCCAGTGCTCGCTCGCACTCTCTCTCTCTGAAATAAATGAAAACATATATTTTTAAAGTAATGAAGTAATAAATATTTCCTTGTAACCAAAACAAAAATAAAAGTAAAAACAAAGACTTTAGGTAGAGGCTGATTCAATCAGATGTGCATTTCAGACCAATCATTCTGGTTTCTGTTATCAAAGGTGGGTTTTAGGGATATAACCTGAAAGCAAGAAGACCAGTTAGGAGACTGTTGCAAAAATCTAGACAGCAGATGGCTTGGGACTTCACTATTCTTGGTCATTGTCAGCCTCGACACAAACAAGGCTGTTACAGCATAAAAGAATTTCACTTGATCTTAGCCAAAAGGCTGAGAAGCGATAGCATAAGAGAATTTCATAGGAAAGAAGGAAAGAGGTGGAAGAAATCAATAATAGCTACTGCAGAAAGCTATTGCTGTCCTCCTTCCCACCACAATCCAGTTTTAAATGTGTCAGTAATTTAAATTCTCTGAAAAGACCAAATAGTAAACCGTGAGATGATGCTGACCGGCGTTTCAAAATAAACCATATAAAGAATGGAAATGCTTCCAATTCGTAATTCAGATGCAGAAGACTTATAATAGTTCACAATTTTTAATCCTCTGTAAAACATTATAGCTATTTTTTCCTATTGGAATTAATAGGGTTTGAAATGGAGTGATAATGAGAAGACTGCATGTCTTTAGATTTCTTTCTTTCTTTTAAAAATTATTAGTTGATTTATTCAGTAACAAAAAGCCAAGTCACAGTGAAATAAATTGCTTGCATTTGAACATGTAAGCAGTTTATTATCTAAAAAATATCCCATTTATTGAAGATGTATGAACTCACTATATTTTGGGGTTATATGGACCTTAGCTTGTATAGCTGACCACTATAATATAGAAAACTCACTTATTAGGGAAAAAGATGTATGTAATAAAACTTAATCCCCTCATCACTTCACCCAACCACCAATTTCCTTCTAATTTGGCTCTTTCTTTTGTGACATTAACCAGGCAGATTCCAAACTTCATAGTCACATTTGACCTTTTCCACTTTGTAATTTCTTTTATCCAGGAAGTCACCAGTGGATTCCTATAAAGTTCTTTGTAATCCATCACTTCCTGCCTGCTCTCACAGTGAATGGCTGACGATACTCTTTTTCCATTCTAAGACTAGTTTCAGGCAGTATCAGGTGTGTCAAAATTGGCTCTGTAACATTTAAATGTACAATATTGTTTTTAATGTAAAAAAATAATGTAAATGTGTTTAAAAATAAAATTTGAAATTAAGCCCTTGTAGAATATCTAAGACATCATCTTGAAGCTTAAGGCTCTGAGAAAAGAATCTAACACTGGACTAATATGGCACTTCATAATTCCCACCCCCCTCTTTCTCTCTCTCTCTCTCTCTCTCTCTCTCTCTCTCTCTCTCTCTCTCTCTCTCTCTCTCTCCTTCCTTCCTTCCTTCCTTCCCTCCCTCCCTCCCTCCCTCCCTCCCTCCCTCCCTCCTTTCTTTCTTTCTTTCTTTCTTTCTTTCTTTCTTTCTTTCTTTCTTTCTTTCTTTCTTTCTTTCTTTCTTTCTTTCTTTCTTTCTTTCTTTCTTTCTTCCTGCAAAAAAACACAGACCCTCAGGAGCATATACACAAACAGTCCAGCAGAGAGCAGCAAAACATCACTAACCATTTAAAAAAAAAAATCCTAGCAGTTTTTCTATATTGCCGAACAATTATTTTATGTTTTTACATTATAGTTGATATACAGTATTGTATTAGTTTCAGGTGTACAACATAATAATTAGACATTTATATGCCTTACAAAAATGATCATTACAATAAGCCTAGTCCCAACCTGGCACCAGACATAGTTATTACAATATTATTCAGCAGAAGAGTCATGTGAGCACACGTTCCAACTATGAGCCTGAGTTTCCTCATCTGTAAAATGAAGATCATTGCACCTAAACCACAAGGGGTTGTTGGGCAGATTAAATATAAAGTATGTGGAACACTAAGTGTTCCTGTTTTGTTTTTTTAAATTATGGCAAAAATATATACAAAAAAATTATCATCCTAATCATTTTAAGTGTATAGTTCAGTAGAGTTAAGAACATTCACATTATGTATAACCAATTCTCAGAACAGGGTCCATGTTGGACAACTGCAACTTGATACCCATTAAACCAAAATTCTCCATTCCCCCTCTGCCAGTCAGTGGTAACACCATTCTACTTTGTCTCTGAATTTGTCTATTCTAGGTACCTTATATTAGTGGAATCATACAATATGTCTTTTTGTGATCGCCTTATATACTTAGAATAATGGCCTCAAGATTTATCTATGTTGTAGCATGTATCAGAATTTCACTCCTTTTTTTAGGCTCACTAATATTACATGTCATGTATATACTGGAGGCCTGATGCACGAAATTCATGCAAGGGACTCAGCCCTCACAGCTGTAGCGACTTGCCTCAGCCTTCCCAGCCCTGGCTTTATCCGGAAGGTCGTCTGGCTGTCCGATCTAGTTAGCATATTACGCCTTTATTAGAGCAGATAACTGGTATATTCTAAAACAGGATTTTATAAAATAATTTTGGGACTACTGCTTTCAGTCATAGTGGAATAACAAAGATCAGACTTATTCTCCCACTAGAAACAACTAGGAAACTGCCCAAAATATATAAAACAATCATATTCAGACATTAGACAACACACAGTATGGATCATAATTCCCAAGAGTAGGAAACCAAAAGGTAAGCTTTACAACGATCCCAGATATTTTATCAGAGGCAGACCCCAGGCTGTGAATGCAGGAAGGATGATGGAGGCAGAGGCCAGCAACCTGACTGAATTGAGAATCTGGGGAGGCCAAGGTTAGGCCGAACCTTAGAGACTAGGGAGCTATGCAGAAAACAGCCCCAGGTATCTGAATAGGAGGTCTCTTTGATCATGCATGTGTAGGTGAACCTTCATGAGGCAGGCCAAGGAAGACTGGGTAGTTGTAAACGGAATAATACTCAGAGCTCTTACTGGGTGAAGAGATGTGGAAACCTCAATTAGCTAAAATCCTCAGTAGTCAATGTAGTGCACAGTAATCAACTGAGGCACTCAACGGATACTGAGACAGGTCATAACTTAGTAGTGTCATTGAACAATTCCCAGAATAAAGGCTAATTTACATCTATTGTAGAAAAATTAAAATAGGCCTTGAAATTATCAAATTGATCTGTATAATTAGCTTACCTGCTTACTAGAACAAAGCCTAATATTCTTTAAAGTAAAACAATATTCAGACACTCAAAGGACCAGTATCCAAACCTGAACTCATGGTATTTTTCCCAAGGCTTGCTTCTCCTCCAGCATTTGCTGCTCATTCTCCACATTGCAGCTGGTGCTCTTCTCTTTCTTTTTTAATCCTCACCCGAGGATAATATTTCCATTGATTTCTTGAAAGAGAATGGAAGGGAGAAATAGCGAGAAGCATCAATGTGAGAAAAACATATCCATTGGTTGCCTCCAGCACATGCCCCTACTGGGGATCTACCCGCCCTTGACCAGGAATTGAACTTGAGACCCTTTTGGTTTGAGGGCCCCGGTGCAGTTGGTGAGATTTTAATTGAAAAATGTTATTGAAGTAATTATAGGTTTATATGCAGTTGTAATAAGACAAAGAGATCCTGTTGGCCCTTCACCCAGTTTTTTCCAATGGTAACATTTTGCAAAACTGTAGAATAATATCACAACCAGGATATTGACATTGATAACATATGCCAGTCATATTCAGATTGCCTCAGTTTTACTTGCACTCATTCGGGGAATGTGTGTGATGCCAATGTTGGATTTTTTCTTTTCATTTTATAGGTGCTTAGGCTCTATTCATTTCTTTCTTTTTAGTTTTCTGTGGTTCAGATAAATTCTGTTGATCTTTCCAGAAGTTCCTGATTCTAGTGCCTATCATCTCCACTTTACTGTTGAGCCCATTCAAAAAGGTGTTTTAAAAAAAAAATCTGCAATTGCATTTTTTAAGTTCTATAATTATCTTTTGATACTGTTTTGTGTTTTATTTCTTTGCTGAGATGGTCTATTTTAAAAATTTTGTTTCAACAGTCTCTATAACTGATATTTGGAGCGTTTTTGCCAGAACTTGACATATCTTGTGGTTGGCATTAATTGGTTGTCTTTTCTTATTCAAGTTGTAATTTTCCTGAGTTTTGGTTTGAAAGATGATTATTTAAAGTGTATTCTGGACACTTTTTATTATGTAAGGAGACTGGGTCTTAATTATTTTATTTTTAGTAGACAATTACCTGTTTAGCATGTCGGTCCTGCCCCAATTTTGTCGACTGTGGCTCCAAAGGCAGTTTAATTTTCAGAGTGCTGATGGGGCTCCCACTGGTTCTTGCTGGTGCTGAGGGAGAAGAAGAGTTGTCTCTAAGTTGGGGAGGTGGGCACAGGCCCATGGGGACAAGTTTGCTTCCTGGGCTTGTTGTTCCTGGTATC